CCCTGCTATTGTCTAGAGTCACTGCATCTTCCTCTGTGTCAGCACAGTACCACTCTGTCTCACCAGAATATATCGTCATAGTAAATATAAAGGCAATACTATACAACAGCTAGTACTGTTAATATTTGCGTAGCACATTTTTTGTTTCTTCATGCACAAAAAAGACAAAAGCTAAAAACTAGAAATGTCCACATAATATCAGACACAAAACACCACAGAGAGGAGACGGTTGCAGGAGACTCACTCAATGTCCTTTTGGAATGTAAGCAGATGAAATGTAAGAAAGGGATAAATCATACAAAGAGGTTTTAATGTTTTCTAATAGGAAAGAATAGTTGTCAGTAGAGAAGAGAAATATTGAGTTCTTAGAAATTAGGCAGGCCAGGATATGTTAAAGTTTGATCAGAATGCTGGAATAATCACAACTATTGGTAAGTTAGAAGTTATTATGAAATTATCATGACCTATAGGCAGCTTTTATGTTTAAATTTACTATGTCATTTCATCATTTCTGTTTGTTTTAAAATCATTTTATTTTGTAAACATGAGGTTCTGTGCTATAAATGGCCGAACCACAACAACATTTTCGTGACCCGCTGCCCATTCTCCTTTGTTTTTTGAATAAACAAATTTAGTTTAAAAAAGGAATTCGATTAAATGGTCATTTACCAAAAAAAAACTAAAAACTAAACTCATATGAATATGGAAAAGAAAGCTAAAAGCCCAGCAGGGGTTGCCGAGTGGCTCTTCACACTACACATCATTAATGAAATGAGACCAAATAACATAAGCATAAACACGTCAATCTGTTTTTTACCGGTTTCTATAGACACTGAGCTCTGCTCTTCATAAATGGCACTAAGTGTAAGTGGTCTCAATTAAAAATTCAAATGGCCTTCTCCTATTTACCGAGCACATATTCCTGTAAAACATATGCGGAGTGGAGGGAGGGGGGGGGGGTGTTAAGTGCAATATTCACAACGCTGTCAAGAAAATGGAGGCATTTCTTCATCCACTTGGTAACAAGTAGGTAATTGAATGAATAATAACTTCCCTCTGTGATTCTCTTTGAAAGACTACAGATGGTTTGGTTTGCCCTGCTTCAAAGATGCATTATGGACTATTATGCACATCTGTGGAGAAGAACTCTATATGAATAGATGCAAAGAGTTTTACAACTACTAAGTGATATGCAAATCAAAATCTGCTCTTGCCACTATTATTTCTTTTGTTTGTTGTAATAAATATATTTCTCCATGTTCTCACCTCAAAATATCTGTAGATAAATACGCTGACAGTTATTAATTTGCTCTATCCTGAACTGATAGGCAGAAGTTTCCAGATAAAAAATATTTTTAAAATTAGACCTATTCTCCCTTTATTAAAAATATTTCTCATCCACACAAGCGTGCCGTTATACGTGGACGCTTGTTTCTTCATGGCTCTCTGGCACCATCCTGTGTTTCAGTCGGTATAATGGATTCTGTTTATTTACACATTTATGAAGAAGTCAGTTTTGGGGAGAAAACATTTCCAACAGTCGGGTAAAATAATGGAGAATCTGAGAGAATAATGATTATTCTGTTCACATAACTCAACATAATGTGGATATTTAAACAACTCTGTTCAGCAGTTCACACTAGAGCTCCATTAAGGGTCAATCAGACGACTCGTTCAATTCAGTGTTATTGGACTTGTTACTCTTTTAAACAAAACGTTGGAACATAATCTCACAATATTAGACAATTTAATGAAAAATAAATAATAATTGAAAAAAACATTTGCAGATGAAATATCTTTTAATGTTACTAATCCAGTGTTTATATGTTTATTACTTTAAGTGACATATGGTAATTTACAATTCTGTTTTTGTATCTTTATTTTTAAACATGGAAAAAAATGATACATAATATTCAACTGCAAATACATAATCTTTGTTTCGTGTGAAAATGTTCAAATATAAGGATTAAATCAAATGACTTTTGGCCCTCAGGAACTCAAACTGTAGCACATGATTGCAGTATGTGTTGTATGTTTACATACAACAGTGTGCGTTTGTATTAAAGGTGCTCACTCATGTCTGTGCACATTTACTTGTATTTCTTTTTCATTATCCTAAATGAGTTTACTAAACCGTTAAGCATGTATGTTTTCTTTTCATTTTATAGCATTTGATTTTATCTTGTCTTTAATTTTATTTATGAATTATGCTTTATGCATGCAAAACATCCAATTTTCCAAAACATCACGAGCCATGACTGTGATGAATAACAATCAAGTCATTGGTAAATTCGTTTGAATCACATACACCTTAAGTCTGATCACTCTGTTTTCTTTCACTTACGTATTCGCCGACTTTTTTTTATGGACATAAATGTGAAATAATTTCTATAGAGGCATTCCATCTGACTTCTTCCAGGAATTCTGCTCACTAATCCTGTTGAGTGCAGTGAACCCCAGACGGCCTGTTGTGTAAAAGACTCAGTGGTCACACATGAGTTTTCTCAGGAGGCCATGTTTATGTCTGTCATTTTTATCTGAGACTTTAAAGGCCTTTTTAGACTTGGACACTGATTTTAAATCTCACACTTTTTCAGTAAGATATTGATCCAAAAAGAAGATCGATTGTGATTTTCTATTAAAGTTCGGATGCACACAAATTCCGATTTCATGAAAAAGCTCAATTGTTCTTTCCATGCATTTACAGTGAAATAATATACTGATACATACGATGTAAGCAAGCAAACAGACTATATGGAAATGTCTGGCACATATGATGGAAGTATTAAGAACAGCTTCATCGGTTATAAGAATACTCCAGACAAAATAAAAAGAAACAGGGCAGGGATCAGAATGGGACACATTTTCAAATGTTTATGCATCACCTAATTTGGCCTCAGTTATGATGCATATAACTTATAAATCTATAGCTTTCATGACAATATTACATTTCATTGGAAAGCACTTCATAACGTTCTCTTTAGTATGATGGAATACAGACTCCCTTTAACTGCACTTAAACTATCATCAGTCTCATGCCAGGCCACCGGAATGCATCAGGGGTGTGAAGTCAAAGATAGAGAGCATCATGAGTTTCTCCCAAGCTTCTTTGATGGCTGTGGGGCGCCTACTTCTGAACAAAGAATGTCTGAAGAAAACTCTCGATGAATCCTATTCATTTATTAGGTAGTGATAAGCAAATCATGCTCCACAATCTACCACCATGACTTCTGAAGAAAACACATGACCAAGTGATTGTCTTCTTTTTAGTCACAAGTACAACCTTAAGTATGAATGTGTGAAGTGATGGATTTGACCTTTATGGCATCATTGTTAACAATAAACCAAATAGTAAAGAGAAATAAATATGTTTAGTTTATACATTTTCACTGATTTCCCTCCCAAAAAAAAAGGAAATTAATTGACTTCATAAAACAAAAACATGCACGAAGAAAATACAAAAGATATAAAAGAGAAAATAATGACAAACAGAGACATTCTATAAAAACTGCATCCACCTCGCAGTTTCAGTTTTAAACAGTCTATGGTTTCAAACCTGTATTGATGCTGTGCATGAGAAACTTGGTCACATGAAATCCAATCATGTATCGTCAGTATCATCCACTCAATTCTTAGAAAGAACTCTATGACGTAGTTTTCCAATCATTAACGGAGGAGGACTATATAAGCAACACATTTACAATATTTTCTTAAAACCTTGTTTTTATAAACTTAATTTGTGTATTTATTTATGATTTGCTTCTGGGAATTACACAAACAGTATCAAACATTCACAAGATTGACGTATTCCTTCAGACAAAGTCAGACACCCAGTGTGGGAAGAAGTACTCAAGTACTGTGTTTAAGTAAGAATATAAAGCAATTAAAAAATACTCCATTGCAAGTAACAAACCTGCACTCAAATCCTACTTTAAAAAAGTACAGATGTATTATGAGCCAAATATGTTTAAAGTATTAAAAGAGAAATTACTGGTTCAGCAGTATGAGTGATACATGACTGATACATCATCACATGTGACATTTTGAGGTTGTTCATATGGATGCATCAGTGCGTATAGTAGCATTTATAGTCCAGTGGTTTCCAGCCAAGGGGTCGAGCCTTCTCCAGAGGGTCGCAAGAAAAAGAGTGGTGAGACAATGGGGTATTGTATTATCTTTTTAAATTTTGGGCTACTTTTACCTCTTTGGTCCTGAAACTGTTTTCATTGCCTGTTTTATAAACTTATATGCTTTTTAATGTAATATCTCAATCTGAAAAATAACTAGCTCTCAGAAAAATGTGGTGGAGTAAAAAGCACAATATTTCACTCTGAAATGTATTGAAGCAGAAGTACATGTGGCATCAAATGGAAATACTTCAGTAAAGTTCAAGTGCTTCAGAACTGCTCTTTTCTCACCTCAAGTGCACAGCACATGGTGTCTTGCACAGCACATGGTGTCTTGCACAGCACACGGTGTCGGCGGAGAACTGGGGTGAAAAGTTTGATAAATGGAACAAAAAGATGAGAATAGACCCACTAAAATAACAAGCTCCAAAAAATCAAAAAAATGTACCTTCTGGCTGGATTAATGATTAATTAGTGATTAATCCTCCATCAACATTTACATAACAGATTTACAGCCAGGGCTCCGGCTCGAAAGAGGATTTTTCCAGAAAGTTCTTTTATCACAATAGCTGAATTTGTTTTGAGACAAAGCTTCTATCTCCAATGTGATACCAGAAGTATCCCAAAATTGTGTTTGTTCACACATCAAAACACAGTTTTGCACACGTGGTTGAACAGTCTGATCCGTTTGAGACAACTTATTTGCCCGTTTCTTATTCAAAGTAATAAATCAGACACAATATAGTCTGGTGGTACAAAGTGTCCCTACAACACTGCGTAGTCCCTTCAGGCAGTTTCTTGGTATTCATCCAGATCTTAGTGCAGCTCACAGCTCTGCTGTCAGGTGATGATCACAAGACCAAAGGCTTAATCCTCCTCAGCTCTACAAAAGCGGGAACATAAATTAGAGGCTTTCTTAATGTGCATGTAACCTACTGGAACACAACATGATTTGGCTTTAAGTGTTGTTTCCACAGATGTTAGAACTATCACTGAATCTAATTTGAAGATACACAACTGAGGACCGTAGCAGACTGAGATTCCACACTCTTCTGGGGGAACTAATCGGCCGTATTCTTACTGGAGGAAACAAACAGGTGAAATATGATGAATGCTCTGGGTTTTGGTCTTCTTTTTTTGCTCCTCTGGCCTGAGCCTGCAGAGGCTCAGTTCCCTCGAGTGTGCTGCACAGTCGAGGGGATCGTGTCCAAGGAGTGCTGCCCCGCTCTGGGCTCAGATCCTGCCAATGTGTGCGGCTCTCTGTCGGCGAGAGGAAGCTGCTCGGCTGTTAGAGTCGACAGCAAACCCTGGGGAGGACCGTACCGACTGAGAAATGTCGACGACAGAGAGAGGTGGCCGACCAAATTCTTCAATCAGACTTGCAGATGTGCTGGTGAGTCATGTGAACTTTTATTAAACATTCAACTGTTTCATGCTAAACCTGGAAAAGCACAACATCAACATGATTTGATACATTAAGTTTGGTCTCTGTGCTTCAGGTAACTTTGCAGGTTATGACTGTGGTCAGTGCAAATTTGGCTGGACCGGACCAAACTGTGACCAGAGGAAAGCCCCTGTGCAGCGGAAAAACATCCACTCCCTGACCCCCGAAGAGCTCCAGGAGTTCCTCAATGTCCTGGAACTGTCTAAGACCACCACCCACCCAGACTACGTCATTGCCACCCAGCATTGGCTGGGACTACTGGGACCAAATGGAACTGAGCCCCAGTTTGCCAACATCTCCATCTACGACTTCTTTGTGTGGCAACATTACTATTCTGTCCGAGACACTCTTCTGGGTAATTTAGCATGGTCACCTTTCTTGACTGAAAACTATTGTAACTGGGTCGCTCATGTGGTTGAATTTATTCGGAACATGTTAGGAATATCATGTTGGTAAAACTAGTAGGGATGTGTGTAATTTTTAATAGTATTCATGTTCATTTTACATATATTATTGTTCAATGTGCACATTATTGCCTCCTGATCACATAGAGCTCACCAAACACTGTCTTCTTCCCTGTAGGCCCCGGACGTCCGTTCAAAGCTATTGATTTCTCACACAAAGGACCAGCATTCATCACCTGGCACAGGTATCACCTCCTCAGTTTGGAAAGAGACTTACAGGTATGTGTCATCTTCTGAAAACATGTTCTTAAACCAATTGATTTTTTGCATGGGATCAGAAATACTACAAGGGTTTATATCTTTTGATTTAACCGAGCAGCTGTGAATATACAAGACGGTTGTCACTGTGAAAATGTATTTTTCTCAATTGGGGTGCTCAGCTTTTCATTGTGTTGTATAATATTTGTTTATCATTAACTGCAATTGTTGGTACATAAGTATACCTATATTTCCAGACCACAACTCCTAAAATAAATGTTATTTGTATCACATACAGTACAAGAGGGTTTTTTTAATGTCACATACTGTCTGTCCATGAATATTTATTGTTGAATGAATGTGGAAGATTTTTAAGAAGCACATAATTGGTCCAAAATTTAAAAAAATGGCAGCGAGAGACAGGAAAGTAGAGGATATATAGATCTGCGACTGGATCCAAACAGAGGAAGTCACAGTTCCAGTGTAGCAATCAGGGCTCATATATTGTCTGTCTATATTCCATGTTGATGACCAAAATCAACATTTACCAATAAAATGTATCTACTCCTGCAGAGATTGACCGGCAATGAGAACTTTGGGATCCCCTACTGGAACTTTGCCACGGGGCAACGTGAGTGCGATGTTTGTACCGACTCTATGCTGGGGGGCCGAAACCCAGACAACCCTTCCCTCATCAGCAACCAGTCCAGATTCTCCAGCTGGGGGGTCGTATGTAACAGGTCAGCACAAAACACTGATGGGAGGGTAAACAGACATAATAATTATTGGTTGGATTATAATGAAATAGAGACTGTTGGACAAATGAATGCACATTTGCATTGGTGGAAATCACAATATTTCTGTTATTTCATTCATTTCCAGTTTGGATGAGTACAATCGCCTGGTGACTCTTTGTAATGGCACCAGTGAGGGCTCCATTCAGAGAGGGATAATGGGGGGAGGTAACATGTCTCTGCCCACCATGACCGACGTCAGAAGCTGCCTTGGAATCAGAGACTTCGATAGCCCTCCTTACTTCACCAACTCCTCTTTTAGTTTTAGGTACAACTCCACTGTAATAGTATGAAATGTATACCTGCTGTTTCTTTGCAAAACTACTGTTTAACAGACTCTGTGACCAACAGGAATGCTCTTGAGGGGTATGATAGACCAGATGGAGAACTGGACGAATCCATCAGTAACCTTCACAACCTCGTCCACTCCATGCTCAATGGAACCAGCGCTTTGTCTCACTCTGCAGCTAACGACCCCATCTTTCTGGTCAGAGTCTGATTTTATGTTTTACTTTCAGGTAACACGGTAGAGTTGCTTTTGGTTAAAATCACGGTGTTTTTTTTTATCCCACAGGTGCTCCACGCTTTCACTGATGCCATTTTTGACGAGTGGATGAGACGGTTCGCTCCATCCAACGCTACCTTCCCAGATGAGATGGCCCCCATTGGTCACAACAGGCACTACAACATGGTTCCCTTCTTCCCTCCGATCACCAACGAGGAGATATATGTTACATCTGAGGAGCTGGGATACTCTTATGCCATTGCCCTGGATGGTGAGCAAGTGCTAAAAATAATTAGATTAAAGTCATAGATTGATATATTGGGAAATACGCTTCACTTTCTTAGAGCTAGATGAGGAGATCGACTCCACTCTAGTAGAGCAGAAACACATGTCTTATGGACGAATTACATCATGGTAATACTGTAATCATCCTGCTTTTCCATTATTATTGTTTTAGCTTGAGAATACATTTTTGCTAATGGCATGACCTCTATCGTTGGGTAGTTCAGCATTTTTAAATTGCTATAGGAGGGCAGTTTTTGTGGTAAACCACAGTGATGGTTATTAAATTACATTTGAATAAGAAGTTTCAGATGATCGCTGAGCAATGTTTAGTCGTTCATGGCAATTTACAGCCTCATCAAACCTATCAAATCCCCATTCGAAACATCTTATTTTAACAAAAATGACTGATATTTTCATAGAGTTTATATTTTTTGCTAGAAATAAGGTATCTATGACTATCTCCACCTGTGCTTGATCTTTACAGATGCAGATGGAGGGCCGGCTGCGTTTGTGCTGGGCTCCACTCTGGGGGGAGTCTTCATTGGTCTCCTGGTGCTTCTCCTTATCTTTGTGCTCTACCTGCGTCAACGGAGAAACAGAGGCTTTGAACCCCTGATAAAAGCAGACTTCACAAACAGAAAGTACACAGAGGAAGAAGCCTAGATTTTCTTTGTTGTTCTGGAAAGTGCTTCAATACTTATACATACCCGAGAGAGTTAGGCCCTACTGCAAGAGGAAAATATGAATCCTGTACAGGGACACCATTTTAGATATTAAATCTTATTTCATATAAAACAAATATGCATTTAAAAATATTAATAGAAATGTCCCAAGACCAACCAGAATGAATGTATACTTTAACTGGTTAAGTAGCCTTCATTTTACTACACAAATATACAATACGGATCTATTGGAATGTTTTAATAAATATTTATTCTCAATAACAGTAACAAAACACAAATGTAATCACCTCAATTGCACTGGAAAACCATAAGGCATATTTGCTCAACTAGTTCTTCTCCTCTCTTAGTTTGAAATTAGATTCAAACACCAAACAAACGTCACCTCATTAGGATTTCACTTCGCACAGAAATGCATTGATTGCGAAAAAAATGTTGATTTATAACCTCAGATAATTCGTCTCACCAGACACCCATTTTCAATATTTTATTGCAAAAATATTACCAATAAAAGTTCAATGATACAAAACATAAAAAGGGCATCCTGCGAGATCAATATTCATAATAAAGAATCCTTTTAAATGACACCTTTGACATATTTTCTCTACATTTTTTGTTCGTGCAATGTGGATGTAAACGCAGACTTAAATGCAATAAAGAAACGCTCAACAAATATTTACTGATATACTGCGAAGGGCATAACACTAGTTAATTCCTTGGATGTGTAAGCTTAGCTGGCCTGTTCTTATGGAGCCGACGGGCTCTCAGAGAACAGTGGACGTACATACAGGCTGGTTTTGTCCGCCCCCCTCAGCAGTGCCAGGCCTCTCACATTCTCTGTAAGTACGCTCTACTGAGGAGCTTCACTGAAGCATTCAGGCCTGTCCGGTCTCCACAGATTCTCATTTCACAGGTGACTGTGGTCGGCTTCCAGTCTGTCTGTGCTGCAGACACAACCATTCAAGCTTTACAGATACATCTAGGGGCCCTTTCTTTGCATTTCCTGTAACCACTGTGAGCTGTTTGCAACTTCCTCTCTTAATAATTCCCCCACACTTTAAATACTTGTGGTAATACATTTGCAGAAATAGCAACACGTAACTTTTTATTCCTGCCTGACAGTATTTCAGTTTCGTAGTTTTTTTAAACACTACAATGAATTTTAACAGCTATATCATCCAAACTTTGATAGCTATTACAGGATAAGCTCTGCAGAGTCAATCACGCATGCAAAAGTGGCACCTTTTTTTGTTCCTGTATGCAAATCAAGAATTCCTGGAACTTCTAAAATGTGTAATACTTGTGGAAATACTTGGAGACTATTCTGAGGATGCAGAAGAAAAAAAGTTAGGCTCCAATTACTGGAAATGAGTATATCTGTGATGGTGATTCTGTATTGAAAGGGTGTGCTTTTCATGCTGCAATGTCTATTTACACATTTATAGACCATGGTCATGATTTTCAATTACTGTGCCTTTATAAAGCTTTCAATGTCCACACAGTATGTTTTACATATCTTTTATAAAAGGTTGATGTGATTAACTCTTTATTGAGGGCTTTTGCTTGCAGATCAGTAGTGCTGGTAAGTCGTTAGATAGAACTTAAGACACTGGGTGACTACTCACTTAAAAGAGACATGAACCCCTACTGATAAGAAAATAAAAGAAATATATTATTGATTAATGAAAACATATATATTAGTGGGGATTATATTTAGTTTAGCCATCTTGGACATTAATTCATTAATTCACACCAGGACATGCACCCCACCACACCACAGAACCATTGATATTGGTGATATCTTCTCTGTTTGTCAATAATTGCTCCAAATAAATTCTGTCGAGGCCGTCTACTCCTGAAGCCAAGCTTGACAAACCAGCATGATATGTGAATATTGTGCAGATAACAAATGTGTTGCAAGGCAAACGAGTATATAAAAGGTAAATCTTATCCCTTTTAACAAAATGTGAGTTTTAGCACAAGGCGGCCATTGAACACAGCAGACCCATGATCAACCGATGATATGCTTAACCTAAAATCTTGTCAAAGGTCATGGTTGAAATTACTTGAGAAATATAATATGAAGCAACATGATTCAGTGGCTGAATCTGATCCAAAAACAAACATGGATTTGATCAAAAATCAATAATTGGCACATGATTTAATGGCAATGGAACAAGGATTCAATCAAAATAGGTGGAAACCACATGTTCCAGAATTGTACGTCTCTTGTATTTGTTTCAAAACTCCTTCGGCCACTTTTAGGTACGTCAAATAACCACATTCTCAACATTTTCCAACACACAAACAATTTTTGCATAAAAAAAAAGAAATGAAAACAATCAAAGTGCGTGTTATATTTTTCCACATGGAGACCTACATTAATACCTGCCATATGTGCAAGACATCTCTGAAGCAGAGTTTGTTGGGTTGGCATCAGTGTTAGGTGGTGAAGTGATGCCATAAAATGTCAAGTCTAAGGATGGCACTGCACGATCTTTGGGAAAGTGGGAAATCACGATGCATGACTGCTCTTTTTTCAGAGCAGACTCCTCTATCCTCCAGACTGGCAGCCTAAATACTGTCTGCTTGACTGTAGCTCCAATCTGCCTCAATACAAAAACTGCAAAAAAAAAAAAGAAAGAAAAGAAAAAACCCTCAGCATGTCCATGTTTAGCCGGTTCCTCCAACATTATCTCCATTGTCGGTGGAGTGCCAGGGCTGAGAGGGCCAGAATGGTTGGCAGGGCTAGAGGTGCACAGAGCGGGGCAGAGTCATCCACAGGCCCGCTCCGGTCGGCTTCCACCACCGGGGCTTCGGTGGCAGCGCCGGCCATGTCTGTGGGGCAGACCTCTGTGCAGCCGCTGCCACTGCCTGAGCTGCTACCTTCATCGCCTGCAACACCAAACACAAGCCAGACTGAGCACATCGCCGAAAATGTAACATTTGTCAACAATTCAACCAGATTTTACAATCCTTTACTGTTCTTTAAAGCTACAGTATGCAACTTTTTTAAATTTCAAGTTAAGCTAAACACACAAGTCGCTAAAATATCAGTTAATGGAGGTACAACAAGAAAAAAATGTCGTACAGAATGGCAATTTGTATCTGTTTGTAACTCGGTGCTCTCTATAAATCCCAATTTGACTGTTGAAACAAATCCTTTTTCTGTGATGGATGGGCTTTTTTGGAGTGTATTTAAATGAAGGACAACACTGCACAGCCAATATGCTGCCTCCAGGTTTTCACATACCCTGATGAAGACGACCTGGTGGGTGGCTTTTTGTTTTTTGACATACTGCCTGTGTTAGTTATTTGCTCCCTCAGTGGCTCCTGTGGCTTTACTGATGTGGGTTACCTCTGCTTCAAGGTTAGGTATTATTACAGCTTATCAAGATGAGTGACATGTTGGAGAATGAACTTGACCAAACATTGCAGAGCGATCAAGACTAAAAATACATTTCCCTCCTTGAGACAACATGTACAATGTGTCACGTGTGTGTGTGTGCATGCGGAATGGCAAATTGCTTACTTGAGTCTTGAAAGTAGATATCATTGCCGTTGTAGGCGTTTTTCAACTTGTTGGTCATCACCCTCAGAGCCATGATCTGCTGGCGGATGAGTGTGTCTGGGCGGGTGATGTCCACGCCCACCTCAGGGTTATTCACCTGGTGGGTCAGTCCATCCTTTTGAACTTCAGGGAAGTACCTTCAGGTTAAAAATACAACAAATGACATAAAGTTAATGTCTTGTTTTTGACAAGAAAGCTTGTTAATAGGACATGGAATCTGGTGAGGGCTCATTCGTCAATGAGAAAGAATATCTGTAACACTAGACACAAATATTTTTGTTGTTTTAAGCTATGAGTCTAATTCTAAGCACTTGAGAATAGTTCTCTGAGGTTATAACACGTTTGAGCTAATCTTTAACAGTAATATTCTGACACATTTGTGAGATATTTCCCCAGGGAAAACATGTCAGCTGCCTGCAATCCTGTCTGATAAATAAGCAGCAGGCTATCATGTGAGGACATTCCATAGATCGTCTAACACGACAGCATTTGTTTCCCCTAAGCCCAGTTCACTCTACTGTACACCTCTGAAATCTCAGCGAGTTAGTTAACATTTTATGTTGTTTTTTTTGTCACAGAAGATGGCATTAGCTTCCATATGCAATACCAATACACAGGGTTAAATGATCAGCTTCTATGGTTATTCAAAGAATTTAAAACATGAATGCTGATCATACATCATACATGGTATGAATACAAGTAGCAGAAATCAATGAACTGTGACCTCAGCCACGGCTGCGGGCATTTGGAGCAAATATTTTCCTTGGAATTGAAATCAGATTATCAGGGACGCAGCATGCTGTCTGCCTGCACATGTTCAAGAAGAATGAAAACACTATTCCATAATATAACACAGACACAATGTAAAAAGCATTAAAAAAAAGCAAATTTTACTATATAGTATAATATATATAAACTCTTGTATTTAAGAGACCACTTCCTTTTGTTAAGTTGACAAATATAAGTCAAAGTATGCCAAGCTTTTGCACGGTAGAGTTTTAATCAGGGAAAGTAAGTAAACGGGTCCTTCATTCTAGGATTAGACTGATTAAGATTAGTCGAGTTGAACAGACTTTGGACTTCGAGGTAACCTTTTGTATTAGTCTGGCCCCGGGCACTGGTGCACTTACCTGCCCTTGGTGTGTCCATTCCAGCACTCCTCATCACTGGCATTTCCAGCGGTCACTCTGTCCTCCACACACATGGCCTCAGGCAGGTTGGACCAAAATTTCTTTGACAGCTTCAGTTTCTCTTTTATGTCAACCACCTAAGCAAAGACAGGGCTTGTTAGATGGGAGGAAAAAAAAACCCTGTATAAACAAATCACGTCTGTGTTCCAATATAGTAGTTGTAGCCTTAGGAGTCAAAGCTGAAAATGATACACACATATATGAGGAAATATAAGAAAAAGACACCATTAAGCAGTAGTTATCAAGAGCAAGACAATAAGTAAAAAGACAGAGTGTGACCGAGGCCTTTTCTTTTAAAAGTTAATGACAAACCCCCTTATTTATGCTGAAGCCCTCAAAGTATTGCAACAATCCTAATGTCATATACAGTATATGACAAATGATAACTGAGCTTAAGTCCTTTTAAGCTCTCCGTTACTCATGATACATCTCATTTGTAAACTCATTATAAAACTGCCCCATCGTCACTTATTACCACATCTTATCAAAGGGATTATAAATCTTGGGATTTAACCCTGAGACATCTTAACTCCCCAAAAAATTATTTGGGTTTAATTTTCCTTCCAGGTTGACTATCGAATGTTTGCATCATGACAAGTAAGACCATACAGGCTCGCAGCAATAATTTCAGCTTGAATGTCAAGACTTAAATGCTCCTTTGCATCCCGGCCATGTGACACAGTCAGATATCGTTTCCTGACTTGAGCCTGTTGAACTCCAATCTTTCATCAAACACAGAATTTGACATATTTCACTGAAGCTGAGGGAAAGCCTGATAGCAGCAGGTTGGCCCCATTATCTTTTTCCGTCTGACTTGCTGCTGGCTTACGTGAAATTGTGGTGAACCTGAGCAGAACATGAAAGGTGCTGTACCAACTGTGTGACGCTGCTGTAGGCCCCGACTCTGCTTTTGATGTGTTAATCCTGTCACACTGATGCCAAAGCACTTCAGCGGCTCTGATGCTGCCCAGAGGGTCAAGGCTGCACTCAATGCAAGAGATTGACTGGCAATGTTTGACTAAACCTCACACATTAAGTTTAGTTTAACAAGTGAGAGATTCACCGTTTTTCTCAGGATCTGCTGGCAAAGCCTGGCCACGTGTGAATCAAACTGGGAATGAAAAACTCACCTTTAGGTAATATAAACATTTAACCAGCACCTCCACTAAACATGCTGCTGCCATGTGACTGAAAATAGAAGAGTTTACATATTTAATGGGCTGATTATTACACTTCATAATGTGCCAAGTTGACACACAAAGCTGTACTCAACCATTTATCCGTGAGTGACCGAGCAACCAACCACAACAAACACATCTCTCAAACACAATTCTCTATTGAGACGGATAATTGAAAATACATCAAATGTACCATGTTTAACAGAGACAATTTGAAAAGAAGAGGAAAGGTGTAGCTTTTTCACACAACAATAAATATGCCTCTGGGAAAAGGCTGCCTCTCACATCACTGCGCATTGCCCATGAATAGATAATAAGACAAGCAGAACTGGCATGCAACCAGCTGCAATGCACACTAGATGGCACTATGTCTTTTTGAAAATGGGGAGACGGATGAAAGCAGCCAGAGAGAGAATACAGAGAGGAAATGAAATGGGGTAAAACACAATTCAAACTAAAACCAATTATATTTACTAATGATGTTTCTTTCTCCATGTGGTCTAACATAGAGAATGTAATTGCCATGGAAACTGATGAAATTAGGAGGACCAATAAAAAAAGAATGGCATACACAGGAATCTACCGTAATAACAGGAACATCCTGCCCCACGTTATCGTCCCACTGTGGTGATGGTATGTGACGAAGGAGAGAGGAAGTGTGTGTGGAACGTGACAAAAGATATTCTCATTAAAGATCACAATGAAGATCATAAAAAAAACACCTCCCTCTCACGTCACGATATTTCAGTGCATTGGTTTTCAGTGACAGCCTAACAGATGCCTATTACCCTAAAGTGTGATAGTTCTTTCAATCCATGAAGACATTCAAGATGTTATTAGTGCGTGATACCTGTGGTTTGGTAATAAGGGCCGACAAGGCAGTTTGATAGAAACATTTACTCACTCGATGTGCAAGCCATGATCACTGATATATTGTTTTACTTCAAAGGAACTTATAAGCTTGTAAACTTAAGTAAAATACTAAAGCATTGTCAACATATGCTTCGTAAGGTGTCACAAGTGCTGCGAAAAGACTTCTATGAACATTAACTATAAAGATGTTTTTCACTTAATGCACTCTATCACTGAGACAGAATATTGTCTTTAATACGACAGATGAATGAAGGATTTTGTTTTCTTTTATAACCCCACACAAACATATTGCCACACACACATGAATGTGCTTATCGTATTCATATAAAAAACACGTATCTCCAAATTTGGTGATTTTTATTAGATAAACTGGAGGATTTTGTTTCCCTTTACGGTTTGAAATTCTCAAATCTAACCTTTAAAAGCCCATTAGGCTACATGAACAATGTAGCGCACTCTACTTTAAGTCCCCATATGATGTAATTGTTTGATATATTTTCCACTTTGCCGAGGTCTTTCAGATGAAGGCTTGTCCTATAGGGCTTTACATGCATGGTCTTGCTCTCTTTCTGTTCTATGCATCACGTCATCTACAGTCTATGTCTCACAGGCATGATATATAATGTTCTCTGCGTCATTGTAAAATAGAAAATCCAGTTGCCTTGATTTACTGGATTTTCACATTAGGGATTAAAAACATTGCAAATGCTAGTAAATATATATTTATGTTTCACATTTTGAAGTTCAAAAGGTTTCAGTGGAAAAATAAGATATTTGTCTCACACTGTAGCTTCAAGCAAATGTTACTCATACAGGAGTAAATTGTGCTTTTGTTGGGGACTGTTTTCAGTAGCGAATCAATACACATTTGGTGCCCTTGAGTATGCAGCAGGATGGTGTTTGCGGGATTGTCTCAAAACAAAGTACACCAGCCGTGTTTATTGAAGGAACGTGTTACCCAGTGCGGCTAACTTATCGGCTTTTAATAGCTTTTGGACAACAATGCAGATATACGGCACAGACGAATACTGTGAGATATATCAGGCCTTTGCTACAGAGAAAAAGGATTAAGTCGTCGGTTTATGTCTTTTCTGATAGCAAAGCCAAAAACACAGAATCTCACCCTATCCGTTAAAATAACTTATGTTTCGCTAAATCAAGAGATTCGTGGTTAGGCATCAATTGAAACCTGTAGGATGAAAAGCTTCCATGAGGTGTAGTTTTGCCAACTCTTCCTTTACTGAGACATCTTTTTTCTCCTTTGCTCTTCGTCTCCCTGTGATGAAGCATGCATGATTTCATACATGATTTCATGCTGTTTCTTTCTTATTCTCGGCCCCCTTGCCACTCTGCTCTCTTCTCTCTTTGGTCTTTCTCTCTGGTACCAATGTCCAAAGTGAAAGTGATGGTTTCATGGCTAGCTGGCCCGTGATCTTAGACTAATGCTCCTCTTCGAAAAAGCTTTGTGGAAAAAAAGCCCCGGGTCTTTCTTTCAACTGTAACATAACAGCGTGTGCTCAGTCATCTCTGGATCGTATAGCATCTGTACTCTTCCATCTATTCTCCTCGAGAACCAAAAGGGAAATGAGCTGTAGAGCATGATCATAATTGCTCTTAATTGTAATAAATATCAATTCAATCATCAATGTAATCAAATCAATCATCTATGATTTTCTTCTCTCTATTTCTGTTCCGTCTGTCTCCTTGGGAGCAGGAAAACAGGAAGTCTACCCAGCAGCTAAACCTTGATAAAGCAGATTAATTCAGCAATAAACAGCACTGAAACGTAGCCCATAATGTATTACAGCTCACACAGCTTAGCGTGCCATGATACAAACATAGCCTCACCCTTGCTTTTCTCTTAACCATGAATAAAATCCACCCAAACATACTGAATATACACGTACAATGTTTACCAGCCGTATAAAAATAATTGGCTAGCTTGAATGGACAAACACGAGGAAATGTTGACAGAGAATTATTATTTCCACAAACAACAGTATGAGTCAATGAGATAATGGCGTCAGCGGGCTTATAGTCTGTGTTTACAAATACTCCAAGCGTTTCTTGCAATATTTATCACCAGTCTTGTTTTGAGCACACACAGTAGGGCTAGACAATATATCGATATCATCATGATATTCTGATATGACACTAGATGTTGTCTTAGATTTTGGATATCATAATATCATCCTAGGTCATAAGTGTTGTATATTGTCCTGGTTTTTCCGTTAACAGGTGGCAGCTGTGTGCCACCTTCCAGCTCAGCACAGGCATGTGCGAGAGCTGGATTTTGACCAGTGGTTTTCAGATGCCCTTGCCTTTTCTCAGATCAAAAGCTGACGTGTCACTGGCTTTGAAGCTGTAGTCACACTCCTGGCCACAGCACAATGTCAGCAACCGAAACTCTTATCTGGCCGTGGGATGATTCCCGGACGTGCTACCTGCCTTTCAAAAAAGACTATTGCTCAAATTTTAGTCTCAAAACACATCACACTCACAATGATGCCAAAGCTGACTGTTCTGTCAGCTGGTAAATCTCCCTTTCTCTCACATTCTGACTCACTCTAACACCTCTATCCTGTTAAATTAACAATAAGTTACTTTTCAAGCAATTATCTGGGGATGTTGTCACTGCTCGACAAAGAGCCTCTGCTGCAAGTCAGAGCTAAATTAGTGCATGTTCAATCTAATCATAGACTTGGCAGCAGGTCTCACCACTAAACCACAAGGGGCAGATAACTCCTCCATCAACTTATTTTCCCTGGCAACTGCTCCTCCTGTCCTGCGTTAAAATAGTTTACGAATACGAATGCAGTATTCTTCCTGCATCTCAATTACAGAGGTCAGGGCGTTGGTTCAACTCATACCAAGACCTTGGCCATGCCATAAGTCTCTCCCTGACCAGTGACCACTTTGAGGAAAGGCCGAATAGTTTCGCACAAGGAGGAAGTCCACAGTAAGAATATCTCTGCCTCTTCATCACATTCTTGATCAAGTTATATTGTCGACTGAGCCAATCCTAA